ACGACCAACGACCAACGACCAACGACCAACGACAACGACAACCAACGACAACCAACGACAACGACAACGACAACCGCACCGACAACGACAACGATCACACCACAATCAACAACAACAGCAACAACAACAACCACAACCACAACAACAACCACAACGACAGCGACAGCAACAGCGACAACAAGAACAAATGATTTGGTCGAAGCTGATCACGAAACCCAGTTTATTTGCTCACAAATCACAAGAAGAAGAGATCAAAGCAATCAGAGAGTGGTCATGGGTATTATCGTTCAGTGGATGAGGCCTGTATACATGAAGGATTTGAAAGAGATCCACGTCAAGCCAAACGAGAGCTTTGACATGGACTTGGCAACTACACAAAAGAAAACCAGGCGCATCAAGCTCTGTGGATTGTTAGCTTCGTTGAAGAGGGGCAGAGCACTACATTTAGTGATACTTAGAAGGCGGCGTACTTATAAGTATAAAATAACCAGGATATGTATAGATAACGTATAGTTAAAGTATGATAAGTATGGACGTAAGTATGATAAGTACAACAAAAGTTATCGCACTTATTCGATACTTATTCTGGAGTTAGAGTACATGCATGGCACTTGTAAGTAAATAATAAGTATATGTATAAGTATAGACATAACAGACTTTGCGGACTTAGCGTACTTAGATTCTAGTTAAGAACGCTATGTTTTTAGAAGACATCCGCGCACCCGCAGGATTTTTCGGCTCAAAGAGTGGAGAATGGCGGAGAGGGCAGGCTTACAAGACTACACGCAATTGGCAGACTTCCTGCGATGGGGCTGTTGGGTCCGCTATAGGCGATTGGGGACATCAGACGCATGTCTCGCATTTGTTTCGCGCCGGAGGGCGGGGCAAAGACTCGGCATTGTCTCGCATATCTCGCGTTTGTCTCGCGCCAATGAGCGTAATCATCCGGCAGCCACAAAACGTCTCTGGCGGGATAGTCGCGCGTTGTCTCGCCTTGTCTCGCGTTTGTCTCGCACCTGGCAGCAGAGGTTTGTTTTTTGTTTAGGAGTGAATGCGCACCGCTGCAGCATTTTCCGGTTCCACGGGTATAGAGCAGTGTGTGCCCCCCTCTGCGCGCCATGTCCTTCCTGCGTTTTGTTGAGTTTTGCGATACATGACCGGTTCTTCGAAAAACCTTGGTTCTACCAGGTTACAATTAGGTCAGACTTAGGTCGCGCTTGTACTACTTAGGTCTAAGTAGACTTAACATAGTTATCATACTTATAAGTATAAGTACGATAAGTATACTTATAAGTACAACGCCTTCTAAGTAGCTGTGGAGGACTCCAATGGATCTGATGCCTGGAAACAAAGCCTTGAAACCGACTTCGAAGGCTAGAGGACTAGCACTTTTGGGAGCAGCCACTACATGGCCAGCACTCTCAATGAAGAGTGCTCTACAACCTCAGCTCCTTAAGCTTGAAGATCAGGAACGACAATTCAGGAAGAGTTGAAACTGCTGTTCCTTGGAGATGCGTAGGTGGACAACTCAAATGCTATTTGAATTCGACAATTGGCGACAATGTTCAGTACTCAACTTTGAGGGAACAATCTTTGCAATGGAGTCGTTCTCAGCAGAAGTGGCTACTTCAATGGTTGCAAGCAGCAGTACAGACCATCAAGGACCCAAGCCTATGGACGTTGATTGAGTTCAAGATGCCAAAAGCAGGCAAGCAAGAAAGGTGAGTGAGAGTGATTACTAGAAGGGCAAAGGTAAGGATGCCACAGGCAAAGGAAAGAAAGGAAACGGAGAACAACAGAAAGGAAAAGCAGGTGATTCCACTGGCAAAGGCGAGGGCAAAGACCAGAAAGGCAAAGGTGTGGCAACTTGTTACACTTGCGGGAAGCCCGGACATCTTGCTCGAGACTGTTGGAGAAACCACCATAATATTCGACAGGTTGCAGGTTGCAAGTGATACAGCCCATTCATCTTCAGGGGAAGCCTCAGTGACTACACATACTAATTGCTTACAACAAACCAATGGGGCCCAGCAGAGTAGCTCAGCAGGGACGAAGCCAGTTGTCAGAAGGATTGAGAACAGTGAACCAGTCATCTTTGACTTACGAGAGAGGCATGATGATGCAGAATCTCCCGTGATTCACTTCTACATTGGAGATGATGATGATGATGATGATGATGATGAAAGAAGAGTGTGAAGAGGCTGAAATTGAAGATGAGAGTCCAAAGGTCAGAAGACTTGGGGAAGAGAAAGATGATGTGGCCATCATTATCGACAGTGGAGGAGACGCAGCTTTATTCTCTTTGAATATGGCAGATCCAGCTACAGGATGCGCAGGGGAATCGTATCCCCACCGGGGTGCGAAAAGTGTCGGGATCTCCTTGCGTGACATTGATGGACACGAAGTTCTTCTCAAAACAATGTGGTCTTCAGTTCAAAGTGAACCAGTCCATACTTTGCTATGGAAGACTGATGGAGCATGGTTGGGGAACAATGGTCGAGAGCAAATATTGGAGAATGGTACCTTGAAGGTACCACTCAACTTGCAGAATCGCTCTTTGACGAAGATGAAAGCTGCTTCGAGGCGCAGCGCCTGAAGCTTTGTAAAAAGTACCGGGTTGGAAGTTCCATGAACTGCTGGTTGGAAGCCTATTGGCTTGAAGAACTGTTGATCCCACGTTCATTCCAGAAGTGGAAGATTCGCCAGAGTTGATGAGAACCATTTTGGTGAAAAGAGTGAATTTGTGAAAGTGTGATGAAAAGGGAGGACCTTCATGAGCATTTCTTTGATGATGATGCAGTCATTCCTTCAATCACAATCTTCAGCTACGAGCCAGCACCAGAAGATATGGAACTCCTTGCACCAGGATTCAAGAAGCTTGAAAACAGAGATGAGAGAAAGAAGGAGGTGAAGACCCCTACTCACCGGAGAAGGAGGTAGAAGATAGGATAGAAGAGGATAAGAAAGAAGAAGACTTAGAGTGTGAGCTGCAATTGAGCCCAATGGACGTAGACAAAGTCTTGGTGAATGGAGCAGAGTTGACTAAGGGCTCAACTTTAGCAACTTTGAGGGCAGCATGCTCCTTTCTCGGCATCTCAGGTAGTGGCTCTAAGTTGAAGGTCTACACAAAGATCCGCAATCGCAACAAGAAGATGGAACTTCTCAATGCCAAAAGTTTGGTGAGTGAAGCAAAAGCGCAAGAGACAAGAGAAGCACTAGGACAAAGCGTGGCTAAGATGCCAGATGAAGCCACTCAGGCAAGACACAGATTGACACATCTACCATATGCCAGTTGGTGTAAGGAGTGCATTGAGCATCGAGCACGGCCAGGTCGCCATGAGAGAACAGATGGAACCAAGAGAGGAAGTATCCCTGAAGTGAGCTTTGACTTTTGCAATACCAGAGAAACAAAGTCAGCAAGAGCAGTATGTTGGCTAGTTGCAATCGATAGTGCCATTAGGAAGCAAGAATCAGTTTCGTCTCGAGTTGATGAATTTCAGTCAGACGTTGTGGCACTCAGCAATTCCCTACAGGAGCGACAATGAACCCACAACGAGACAGATCCTAAAGATGCTGATCACTGCTCGACACAGTTTAGGACTTACGACAAGATTGAATCCTTCAAAGCTGGGAGATCACTCAATTTCACCAAATCAAAGTAGAGGGTCGAGATGGGCAGGCTTCAGGGCGAGTCTGGCTAGTCTCTTTTTTGCATTTTCGAAATTGTTTTGATCATTGTGAATCATGTTTTAAGCATAAAATAATAAGATCCAAAATAATTAGGAGTTATTCAAATAAGAGCAAAAATGATTCAAAAGTGATTAGATATGATTTTGAACAAAATTCACCAACGGGTAAAAGTATGAGTGAACCAAAAGTGTTTTCACGGGTACATCCACGAGTGAAGCCACAAGTGAAGTTGCAGTGAACTTGCAGACAAAATGAAAGTTCAACATAGCCTTTTACGATAAGTTGACGAGTCGAGCAACAAGTCAACTCACAAAACACAATGAAATATGTACTAAGTACAAACGGTTCCTTTACGATAATCAACGAGGCCAGGAGCACTGTGCTGTCAGGGATTGTAACAAGTTACTTGTTACAATCCCTGACAGCACAGTGCTCCTGGCCTCGTTGAAAGCTGCTGAAACTAGTAAGTTTTGGCTGAAGAGCTCTGTCTGGCAGGGATTGTGACAAAGTACGGTTTTTGAAACTAGTCAAGTTGTGGCTTTGAGTATTCTTTTTGAAAGTAGTCAAGTTTTGGCTGTGCTGGCAGGGATCATACGAATTTTGAATCGTAAATAGTATTTTTTGCTGAGCACTGTGCTGGCAGGGATTGTTGCTGTAAGATTTTTTGAATCTAGTCAAGTTTTGCTGAAAAGCGCTGGAATCGTAACAAGTAAGGTTTTTTGAAACTATATAGTCAGGGTTTGGCTGAAGAGCACTGTACTGGCAGGGGCTCCATTTTGGTCTAGGTTA